TAGCCAGTTTGGATGTTCACTTTCCTAGTGAACATGGACGGAGGGGGGAGGACCTTGGACTTTCTACAGGGCAGGGAACCCTGACTGCTCTCTGGACTGGAGAAGGAGGGGGAGAGAAGTGGGGGAGGGGGAGAGAAGTGGGGGGAGGGAAAGAAGGATGGGAGGAGGGGGAGGGAAATGGGAGGCTGGGAGGAGGCGGAAACTTTTTTTTTTCTTTTCCTTTTTTCAATTAAAAAAATAAAATAAAAAAAACTGCAAGTAGTAGATAAGCTTCGGTTTATGTTGCCATGTTTACAGAGGTAACATCTTTCCAAGGTAACAGAGAATCCCTTCCCTTTTCTAAGTTCTTTTTCTTAGCATTGAGACAGCATCCCAGCATGTGGAGCATCCCTGGCTAGCAGCCATTCTAAGATCTGCAAATGAACTGTGCTCATGCTTTCTTATTTGTAATATTTTCCTTGCCTGATTTCCTGGTTCACATTCCTCCCCTTTTGGTAAAACTACTAAAAGAACTATGTTTTCAAGATTTCTTTCTTTCTCTTTTTCTTTCTTGCTTTTCTTTCCCCTTTCTTCTTTCCTGCCTTTCTTTTCATTCTCCCTCCCTCCCTCCTTCTCCCTCCCTCCCTCCTTCTCCCTCCCTCCCTCTCCCTTCCTCCCTTCCTTCCTTCCTTCCTTCCTTCCTTCCTTCCTTCCTTCCTTCCTTCTTTCCTTCCTTCCTTCTTTTCTTCCTTTGTGTATTTTTGTGTAGGAGTGCTTGTCTGAATGTTTGATCATGTTTCATGTATGTCTACTGCCTGTGGATGCCAGAAGAGTTCAGATCCACACAGTAGTTTTGTGTTCTAGGAGCTGAATCCACCTCCTCTTTAAGGACAGCAAGTATTCAAGTTCTGAGCTATTCTCTCCAACTCTAAGTATAGACATTCTTAAATAATGATTTTCATTTTTCTGTGACCCACATATGTGGTATCTTCGTCGATATGGTGTAACTGTCCAGTTGTAGTGGTTAACCAGGAGTAATGTCAATAACCTGTGCTGTCTGGGGTTCTGTGGGAAATCATTTCTCGAAGAGAAATAATCCTGGCACTAAGTTTGTATTTGCTAGACTGTGATGGCTACTAGAGGAGCTGTTCCTTTGTTACAGGGTAATTTGTTTTAAATTCTCTCTCTCTCTCTCTCTCTCTCTCTCTCTCTCTCTCTCTCTCTCTCTCTCTCTCTGTGTGTGTGTGCATGTGTTTTGAAGCTTCTACAGTAGTAAATTTCCATATGACATTTTCAAAAGGTCTCTAGTGTTCATTATCACATCCTTTACCCTTTCTTCCCACCTCAACTCACAGAACCCTTTTAGTGCCATTACTTCTTTCCCCTCATTTTACCATCACATTGTATCCCCTCTCCCCCAAAAGCCCTTCCATTGTGGTCTCTCACAAACTTCCTGACCTCTATGGATATTCTAAAATGAACACACATATCTACATATTCAACACAAACATACACATACAAGAAAAAAGAAAATAAAGTTAGTCTTTAGGGGTCTGAATTTCTTCAGTGGAACCTAGAACTAGTAACATGATTGGAGCTAAGAGCCTGGGACTATATGCCACATGCCTGAAGGGTGGGGCTACTACTGTCATTCAAATCAATTAACATTGTATTAAAATGAGCTTAGTCACTTACCATTATCCACATACAGTAGTGCATCTCTCAACCCTCATCAAAGCAGCTTCTTGTTGTAGTAGATAGTGATCAGCAGAAACCCACACACAACTTGTCAAAATACAGAGAATAAAAGACTGTGAATGTTTAGCACTAATTGGGACCTTGTAGCATATGCTATTCCCCTAAGGCATAGGGATGATGGAGGAAGAGGGAGCACAAAGACAGTAGGAGTCATAGGCTGTGTATGACTGCAGTAAAGCAGTGTTCTGGACAGAAGACAGTTGTATTTATGAACTCACAGCAGTTGGGACACCATGCAGAATACTTATACAAGTTCAAGGCAGGCAAAATCTCAGCGTGGAGTCTTAGAAGATGGATGCCCCTTTCTGAGGACCTATTTGCAGTTGAAACTGCTTAGAAAGAGTATGTCGGTTTTCTTTAAGGTTCTATGATCCTGCCCTTAGTAGGACCATGCTCCAGGGTGGACCCTTCACCTGAGCGTAATTGCAATCACTGCGTTTAAATAACCAAATGAAGGGCATGAAATTGGATGAATAGAGATGTAGGGGTAGATTTAGAAGGATTAGGGTAGGCAGGTAAATATGATCAAAATACATTATATGAAATTCTTGAGGAATTAAGAAATGGTATTAAAAATAATAAGAAAGCTTAAATTCATTCTTTCCATACATTCTATTAGAACAGCTCTGCAGATTTTGTCTGTTCTTTTGTGTTTTGTTTGTATTTGTCTCTTAAGATTGATTGTTTTGTTTCCCTTGTAGGTAGAAGGACCCATCCATCTTTACCTTTGTTCCTTCTCCTACTGACTGATATAAATGACATGCTCTGTTTGGGCTTAATTCTGGATAAGAATGAATCCTAGTTGACAGAGTAGTATATGGGAATTTTTGAATTATATTTGTGTTGTGCATGATTGAATATTAAGTTACATGTAATATTCCTAAAAATTGAGAGCTTTTCTGTTATTTGGGTCTCTGTTAGCCAACCTGTGAGATGTCAGAATTTGGTGGCTGATGCTACCTTCTCTCATGAGGTCCTGGTTTTTAATATTCCTTGTTAATGTTGATTTGTCAATGACTATCATTAAGAATTAACTTCCAAATATCACTTGAGCTTTGTGCTTTGCTATTTCTACTGGGAGATACAGAAATATTACAAAGCATGATGAAGGACTCAGCATCCAGCTAAGATGACAAATCCGTACACACAAAAATAAAGTGGAAACACTATAGACACTGTCATTTGCAGTGATAATGTTCCAGTGGCTTTCAAAACTGTGGCTTCCTACAGTTAATTAGGTGACTTATCTTAAAACCACTCTGCAGGACACAACGGACAGTCATCCAAAACTGTAGGAAAGAACAACTTCCATGGGCCACTTGCAAGGTTCTGAAGCTAAGAAAGACCTCCCTGCTGCCAAAGGGTTTGGTCTTTGGACCTATTCCATGCTGTACTTTTACTTAAACCTCACTGTTCTAGGCTAGTTCACGTCATAGTTCCTGGGAGTAGTTTACTCCTCTATGACAGTTTAAAATTTCCCAGCCCCTTTCTTCAGCTACAGCTGTATGAATGTGCCATGTTTTCCTTCATGCAGTTCTACAGATCAGACCCTTGTTGATCACTTTACCACTTCCAACTTTAGTTTGCAGAAACAACTCAAGTACACATAAACATTTTAAGGGTTTTTATCCTCTTTTCCTCATAAGAGATAAAATCATTACTTCATTGCATTTGTCCTTACATCATTTAACGTTGTTTCTAAAGTGGTTAACATTGACTTCATGTTATACATTTTGGATATTTATGTGCTCCAGTCACTCTCTACAGCTACAGAGATTGGTTGTGTATGTGTATATTTTAATGCTTTTTAAATAGTATTTCTGCCAAATACTTTCAACTTTTATTGTGTAGATCTTATTTATTATATTTAACAGAGAAATAGGATTAAATTGCTGATCACTAAAGGTTGGTTTCCATGGGGAAATGATTACCCTTACTAAATGTAGGGGGCCTGTGTGCACATGATTTGAAGGCAGAAGTCAAGGGCAGATGTTCTCACTTTTCTTATAGAGATGGGTCTTGAACATGCACATGTATCTAAGATACCTGTCCAGCAAGTCCCAGGGATTCCATGTTTCTGCCTCCCAGATGCCAGGATTGTAGGAGTCTGTACCATCACAGTCAGCTCTCTTGCCTGAGTATTGGAGTCTGACCATAAACCCTCATGTTTGAGCTATGCATGCCTAAGCCATCTGTCCAGACATGAATCATTGAAGTTTTATGCTCCCACATAGACATCCTTGTTAAATATTTTGTTTTTACTTTTAATTTTAAAAATAAAAAGCCTATTTTAATTTAGTATAATTTTCATTTTCTCTTATTTCCATAGGTAAAAAGATGGCTTATCAGAAGGTCAATGCAGATTTAAGAACCTCAGGAAACTCACCTTACTTAGACAATGACGACATCCAAGCCACTGCCCTTGACTTAGAGTGGGATATGGAGAAAGAACTGGAAGAACCTGGCTTTGACCAGTTCCAGCAAGATAATACTGAGACTCAGAACTTGGGGCACTCAGAAACTTTAGACCTCCATCTTGATTCCATTCAACCAGCTGCTTCACCCAAAGGAAGGTTCCAGAGACTTGAAGAAGAGCCTGACTATATTACCCACTACCCAAGATCGACACCAAAGAGCAAACACTGCAACCTTTGCTACCTTTTAAAAGTAGTTTGCACAGCCACCACTTTATTTATTTCTGGAATTCTAATAGGTTATTATGCACATATGAATTGCCCTTCTGATGACACACCATCAGGAACAAAGGACCTTCAGTTATACCAGGATATTCTCAAGACAATCAAAGCAGAAGATATTAAGAAGTCTTTCAGGTAGGTGCAGAGGAATGGATGTTGGGATGCATTTCCTAGAAAATAAATCTCTAAAGTAAGATTGCACTGGAGATACAAGCAAGTTTGTCAAGTTGGTGGATACAACTTATGCCAGGAATAGAAACTTATAGAAGGACATGCATTTTCAGGTTTTTGGTTCTGCAATATAAATTTATGATGTAGTTCTATGAATTGATAATAGTAAGCATGACTACAATGGCAACTAAATGACTCTAGCCTATGCATTTTCTCCCTTTGAGAAAGCCTGATAGGCTGTGTTGAGATGCAAAGATGGTTTGAATCAAAGGTAATAAAAACTAGGATATTTGTCCTATGGTTACAAACATGATTGGCACTATAATGTGATTTATAGGATGAGATAACTGCCATTAATTACTCAAGGGGGATTGGGGCTGCTGACACCCTGCATTCTTCCCCTTTCAAGCAGGCACTCTCTGTTTAAATACGCCAGATTCCAACATTCAGACAGTTCAAAACGCTGTGGTCTCGACTGTGCATGACTTAGTGGATAGCTATGGGACCAGAATGCATTGATTACTCAATCAAATTATAATAAACAAGTCTTATTGAGAACTTAATGTGAGTTGATAGGAAGAGCACCAATGTCACACCTGTGACAATTTGACAATTGTGTTTGTTATTGGCTGGCAGTTTAATGCATAATAAAATGGATGGAGAAGAAATACCGGCAAATGTCTTCCGAGAACTTAGGAGAAACAAGCATCCCTTTAATCATTTATACGTAGCTGGAGCCCAACATTGCTGCCTTCCCAGGATGTTTGTTGTGGGTGACAATGATTTACAGCTGCAGAGTTGCTGGCAAGTGAGCATGTCTAGTGATCTTCCTGGGAAAACTTACACGGAAGATGTACGATGTGTAGCAACGCTGATGAATTCTAATACTCTCCCTGAACACATGTCTAAGTGACAGATGGGAATACTGTTCTTCTGCACAGCTTGTCTGCTTTTCACTGCTGCTTAAGCATCCATGGAAGTGTAATTGGCAGGTGATAATGCTTTCTATGATATTTCCCAATGTAAACCTTCTGTACTGAATTGAGTTAAAAGTTGTGTTTTATAAAGATCTACTGTGTCAGTTATGGGTTGACCTATACATCAGGAAATTCCTTAAATATTTCAAGGAATGAGTATTCAATTATTTTACTTTATTTCATGTGTTGTGTAAGGTTTATGTACACATGTATCTGAAGAGATCAGTATCAGGGGTTTTCCTTATTTGTTCTCCATCTTCTTTTTGAGATAGTGTCTGTTTCTCTTTGAAGCTGCTGTTATATATTCACCCAGTTGACCAACATGCCATAGTGTCTTTCTGTTTTCTTCTTCTTCCCAATACTAAGACTGCAGCTGTTACTCATAGCCATGCCTGGTTATTGCATGAGCTATATGGAAAGAAATCACATACGCTTGCAAGACATGTACTTTATTGACCAAGCTACCTCTCTAGTCAGCCCCTGAACAGTAGATATTCAATGTCGGTCTGTTATTTCATCACTGGTGAAGAATGTGAAACTTTTCAGAAGATAGGGAGGCAGTCCAGAATGAAGCCACCATTAAACTTAGAAAAATAAATTGGTGGAAACCGGACTTTCCTGTTTACACAAGTGCAGGCAGGATGCAGCCTCAACTGGGGACAATAGCAGGTCTGTAGAGGGTGAGAAGCATAGCATCCCAGTTTGCTCCTGCCCCTCAGGGTCCTAGAAGATCCTCCAATGACTGAATCCAGAAGGATGCTCACTGGGAAACTGCTTCTAAACGTTTCAGAGGCTGAAACAGGGAAGGGAAGAAGGTCTTCATAAGTGATGCCTCTGGCAGAGAGGTGCAGTCTCTCAAACAGAACCAGTAGAGTAGAACCATGCAACCAGTGAAGTAGAACCATGTAAAGCTGGGTTTACTTCACCAAGGCATTCAGGGTCAGTTTACTTCATCAAGGCAAACAGGCTTCTGCAAGGGACTGTAGATTAATTTCCTTTTAACATTAAGGGAATTGCTTTCTTCCCAAGCTACATGTCAGTTCTCAGTTTATCAGCAAAGTGTAGTTCATGGACTCAAACCTAATTTTTTTTCTTTACTTTGACTTAGTCAGAGTTAAGTCTGTATGAGGTCATGGGGGATTTCCTCTTTGATTTTATTTACTAACTAGGCTACATATATGTTTTCCTTCTTTGCACCTTATTAATTTTGTTTAGTTTTCAGCACTTTGAAAAGCTTGCTAATATCCTTATTTCAAATAAACAACAAATGATAAAAATTTAAATATATAACTAAGTAAAAGTACTATTTTTCCAATAATGGAACTTGAAGGTGTGTGGATTTTATTTTCTAATTAAATGAAATAAAATCAATTAAATATGATATGTCTAAATTTAGCCCCAAAATACACTTTACAAGGGATTAGTCTGTAGGAATATCCCATGGTAAGACACATATTCAACTGTGCTATATAAAATTTTCTTATTCATATGGTTTTCTTAGATAATAGTGATTTTGCCCAAATATGTTTGTACAAGTATCTGAATAATATCCTCTCAGTCAATGTCAGTTTTTCCTCAAAAATATTGTTATTCCATTGATCAACAAGTCTGGTCCTCTGCCAACACCATACTGTTTTAATTACTATAGCTCTGTAGTACAATTTAAGATCAGGGATGTTGATACACACTAGTTATTTGATTATTTAGGATCTTGCTTGCTATCCTGGGATTTTGTGTTAATATAAGAAGCTGAAAATTATCTTTTCTATCCCTGTGAATAATTGTCTTGTAATATTGATTAAGATTGCATAGAACCTACAGATTGCTTTTGGTAGGATGGTCATTTTACTCTATTAATCCTGAGTGTATATTTTAATGCAATAATTTTCTTGGGTTTTGACAATCCAGATACCATAAAATATAGAATGGAAGAAAAGTATGTACTCTAGATATGTCTCCTACTATTTCACTTTACATAAATATTAGGACAACATATGCAAATGCTTTAAATTATCAACCAAAAATCACCCATTCTAGTACCTTTTTAAAAAATAACTCTTACCTTTACCTATCAATCAAAAAATTGCATTGTGCCACAAATATTTTCTTGATAACTACTTTAGATGTATCATCAATTAAATATACTTAGAACAATGTTTGCAGTTAATGAATGTAAGTATATATAAGCACACTAACATACTGCTTGGTGGTAAGTGCTATAGGTGTTAGGAACTTTCTTCAGCCATTCCACATAAAAGAACATTTAAGTTCTTCCAAACATTCTTAGAGATAAATGTTTGTATTTTTATTTAGTTATTCTTTTCTCCATAAATGCCTGGAAGCAAATAACCACTTCAGAGAGTTTAATTTAGTTGTTTACTTTGTAATATAAAATTGCTTTGCAAAACCACCTGCCTTCTAGGTCCTCATTACTGTTTGTTTTTGATAGACCAAAAATAAAGTTATATCATTTTTGATTTGTTAATTGATTTCATTTGTATTTCTTTTTGCTTATATCAACTACTTTTTAAAGAATCCACCTCACCTAGATTTTACAGGTTCAGAAACAAAATAATATAATAGAAAAATAGAATGTGATATATATAGCAATTGTTGAGTTTATTTTGTAGTTACATTTTTAAATTTTAGTTTTTGTTTTTAATTTCATGCACAGATATTGTATTTAAATAATTTCCATCCCATTCTAGCTTTCCTCCACATCCCCCTATCAAAGTCATGACCACTTTAATTATTATCATTTTACACACACACGCACACACACACACACACACACCACCTATTAATTTCATTCCATGTAGATCATATGTTCATGTGTTTTGAGTAGACAACTTGCAACTGGATAACTTTGTAGTTGCTCATGCTTATTTGGAGTGGAAGACTAATTATCCCTCTTTTAGCACCTAGTAATTGCATGTAGATTTTTTTCATCTAGGGATGGGTCTTGTGAACTCTCCCCCATCGTCAGTAACATGTCATGGGCAGTGTCATTGTGCTTGTCTTGTTTAGTCAACCATGTCCTTGAGTTTCTGTGCATGCGGTTTGCCTGTCATATGTAATGCTATCTCACAGTGGAGGCTCTTACAGTCTTTCTCCTTCCTCTTCTCCAGTGTTTCCTGAATCTTAGGTGTAGTAGGGGTTGTCTTGTCAATGTATCAGTTTGGATTGGATGCCCCACAGTAAATTGTTCTCTACATCTTGGCCAGCTGTGGATTTCTATAATCTGTCTGCTTTAAAAAGAAAATAATTTTATGAAGGGTGAAAGCTACACATATCTGTGAGTATAGGAGAAGTATCTAGAAGGCAGCTAGAATGCAGTTAGAAACTACTAAAGCAATTTGGGAACAGGACAATAGTAAGTTCTCAAAGGCTGTTGACTTTATTAGCCATAGGAAGATAGGTTTATAATAATAAACCTCTTTCCTATTGAGTGTGCCATCAGTTGATTTCTCCTGGATCTATGTGCCACTATCATACATTGGGATATCTTCCATGCTGGTCATTGTTGTAGTTTGTTAGCTTTGATGCAGGGTGGGGTATTGATAGATTTTTTTCTCCCTTGACAGCTTACATAACAACTCCTGATACTATGAGAGCTAGTCCTCAGGGAAGACTAGCCCCACTCAATTCTTCCATGTCTTATTTCACAAGTGTGTGGTGTCTTCAGCAAGAAGTTCTACCCTTCTCAGAAGTGACTGAGGGCATAACATAACCTACAATGTTTGGAGTCTTTCGTGCTCCCCTGATCAATAACTTGAAGAGAGGATTTCCATGCCTGGCACTGTTCCGTTGTTGTTGCTGCTCTTTGTTATATTTTGTTTTAGACAGCCTATGTGTCTTGAAGGAAGCATTACCACTGCAAGTACCATAACTTCTTTGAAATATATAGGTGTGTGTACATGTATATATGCATATATATGTACGTCTGTGTGTTTACACATATGCTTACATATGTATGCATTTTAGGCA